TTTTTTGTGTCTGTTACCACTTTTTCTCAGTTCTCACCGAACCGATTCCTTTTAATGATACGTCAAAAGATCACAAATCGTATCTAGTCGAAGACATTACCTTAAAAATTGAAAAAATTTCCCTCATTCCCCGTAAATGGGGGAAACCTCCAAAAAAATTACAAATTTAATAATCGCTAATTTTCGAAATTTTTTCCATTTTTTTTACTAATAACTGCCGTAACTTATTCAAAAATGAACATTTCAATATAATTTTTTTTTTTTAGATGCATGATATCATTACCTTTCATTTGGTATATTTTTTTTTTATATGTGACCCTTTACTTGCACACAGGGGGGGATTTAAAATGACAACTTTTTTACAAAAAATTAACTTTTTCAACTTAACTTTTGAAAGTGTTCCGAAAATAGTGACACTTTTATATATATCTTAAATTAATGCTAATGTATTAATTAAAGTATTGCTAATACTTTATTATGGAAAAAAAAATTTTTTTTTTCATTTTTTTCATTCTTCATACTTTATCTTAATCAGGATATTAATAAGGATCTAGCAGATCATGTAGCTTTTGGATAATCCACCAATTTTTTAAAATTAAACAATATCTAATGATTTACATCGAAGCGTTTTTTTTTTATAGTGATTTTAATCACTGTTAGATATCATTACACTTGATCCAACTATGCTACGTCACCACTGTGTCGCGACCCCCCTGTGCTGGGTTTTTTATTATTTAACGACAAAGTAGGGATCAATACTGATTTATTAATGTTATTCCGAAAAAAAAAATTAAAGCTGTGTTAAGTTATACATTATAATAGTAAAACGTCTCTTTTTAATTTACTCAACTAAAAGTAATTAAAAAAATTAATTCTGTCGACATTTTTAAAAATAAATAACACATTTTGTATATATTACAATACTCTATACTGAAAATATTGATAACATCAAATTTGATTTCACAATCGATAAAAATTAATATTTGAAAATGCATATTCAATATATATTATCGTTTGGAATTTTTATTATTCTCATATTTGATTTTGTAAATTCTATAAATATTCCAGCTTTACAAAAATTATGCAACTACAAATATTGGGAAGAATTTAAAAAAAGTGTGCATATTTGTGCATAAAGTGTGAATATTTGTGATAAAATTAATGGAGAAATTACCATGGACCAATTGTTTGATGGATTTAGAACAAGTTAGTTTATTAATTTCGATAATATGAACGATAAATCAAGATATTTTCATATGTTGTTGAGCTGCAATCTCAATAAGAAAGTATTAAAATATATAGGCTATGTAAATTGTTATTGGGACGAAATTAAAAAAAAGACCAACAAAAATGAAACTTATAAGATATGTCTAATACAGGAATTCAATACATTCACTAACGTCATTATAGTCTTCTCTATTTGATAAAATTAACGGAATATTTATTTGACGTTTATGATATCATAGACACTATGAAACATTTAGCTTCATAGGGTGAATTTAGTGACAACCATATAGATAAATTTATTGGTGACTTGTATTTCTCTGTTAATATGTTTATGGAAAATAACTGCAGACCAATACAGCCATATTCATCGGAGGTAAACATTCGGTACAACAACCTTGTTAAACAAAATTGGACTTTATGTTACATTTTTTGGGAAGTCAAGAAGGCTCTTATTGATAAAAAATTGGAAATTTTGGAAATGTTTTTAAAATTAGGTCACATGTTTAAAAAAAAAAATACTTTCATACACACACACATATATATATTATATATATGTGTGTATGATAGTATTTAATATAATTTTTAGATTTGGTCCGACATTACTTTATTTTGATATCTTATAATTCGATATTTAATACCAATATTAACTGATAAATTGAAAGTTTCGTACTATTGTTCTAACTTCAATAATTATATTGTTATAATTAATTTTTTAATTATTAATAACAGCATATTCTATCCAAGTAATTTACGGAAAATAATATTTTCAATTCTCATATGATACATTTTAATAATTTGTTAGTTATGGTAACAGTTTCTTCGAAATAATTGTTCGACTTTTGTTTTATTTAAATAAATTTTATAATCACATTAATATAAAGATTTTTTTTGAAGGGGGGAGCAAGAATGAGTAAATATAATTTTTTATAATGTATATTAATATCTCAAGTATTATATTTTTAAATATCACAAATAGTATAAACACTTTTATGTAAACAGTCAAATACCAAACCTTGCTTTTACAGCAAAATATACAAAACCAAACATTTTTTCAATTATTCTATACAATTGGTAAAAATTACTAACGAGATTTTTCTAATATATAACTATGTTATATACTTTTATAACACTATATACTGAAAAACAACGTTAAATATTTTTTGAACACTTTATATACTAAAATCATTGAATTTATCAATTTTTACAATAAAGGTCTATATTTAAAATATAATTTATGTTATTTTTCGCAGTATACAATAGATATTTTAAAAGTCAATTTTTAATTATATTATATAAATGTTATACATATTTTAAATATAGTCCTATATAGTAAAAATTGATACAAAATTTTTTTATAAAATATAGATCATTAGTTATATCAGNAAAATTAATACAAAATTTTTTTATAAAATATAGATCATTAGTTATATCAGTTAGATTATTTCCATTCTATATGTATACAAAGTGTTTTTTATCATAATTCACTCAATTACTTAAAAAATAAAAGGTATTAATTTTACTATGATGTGTTTTTTTTCACTGTCAGATATCATCTATACTGGACCCAACTATGCCACGACCCCACTGTGCTGGGTTTTTTTTTATCTTTAGTTACACATTATTATTGAATAATTAACTATGTAATATATTTTAAATTCATCCATTATGCCTTGTAAGGGTGTCAACTATGTTTTATTAAACGGAACACATTTTGAATTTAATAAAAAAATTTTAATTTAATAGTATATGGCATTTGAAGTTTTAATATAATATATTTATACTATAATAAACATTGGTCTTTTCAAATATCTTTTGTAATTGCGAAAAATAACATAAAACATATTTTAAATGCAGTTCTTTATTATAAAAATTAATAAAAAAAAAAAAGTATAGAATGTCATGAAGATAATAAATTAAATGAATTGTAAGATAGATTTGTTCCAATCTGTATATGTATAGAGATAACATTTATAACGTAATTTTTAAGTATACAGATTGTAACAAAAGTATATAACTGAATGATTTCAGTATATTTGCCATTGTCATCAGCCTTTGTCATTTCAAAACGTTCAAGTACTTAATTAATTGTATTTTAATATCAAATGAGAATCTATTATTTCGTAACGATGATTGCATAAGAACAAACAAAATTTTTGTTCGGCGACGATTCTGTTATTATCGTTATTGTCGACTTGGTGTAATCGAAAATAAAAAGAGTGCAACGGGTGGAAATGATATAACCACAACGACAATTCAAAATGTATAAAAATTGTGTTTATTGGCAACATGTAAATGATTACGTACAACAAAAATTCACAAGCGAACTGTATCAGTTTCACAATCAAAATTATCCAGAAATGTACTCGTGCATAACTCACAGAGTAATACAAATTCGATAATAATTANACTCACAGAGTAATACAAATTCGATAATAATTAACGACGAATGAAATATATAGTTTATATTTTTAAGTACGTGTGTGCCTTTAGAAGAATTGAATTACGTTATAGTAATAATAATAAAAAACCCTTTTTTTAGCTCATCCACGGCTGGCTATTGTAACCCATCAAACCTGACACGAACACTGTTATATGAACTTGCCATAATACGCTGGCAGAGGTCCGTGAGGCTAAGAGATCCACGTGAGAGCTGTCTTATTGACTAATGATGTTAAATTACCGCGGTAGCATCCAACTCAGCCTTTGCACTATCCGGTACCTACACTAGAATTTCCTTTAATGGCGTTATCATTTTAATAACATATCAGATTGTATTGGTTTACCATGTTACTTTTCCTCTCGGAAACTATTTTGTATTTAATTTTTTTATCCGATACCAGTATGGAATTAAGTCAAAACGTTCATGTGTTTTTTTTTATATATTTTTCAAACAAAAATTCGAAATTCTACGTTTTCATATACGATACTCACACCACTTGTTACCAGCGACTCCAGCGGCTACCCTCGACAGTCGACTTTTTACAAGATTATTATATTCGCCGTGTGCAAGGGCACATGGATATGTTTTAACATGTATGCAGTATATATAGGTATACACGGACATAAGCAAAACTAGTAGGTTGAACGATTAAAATACAATTTCGGTACATGGTATGTATAATATATTATGAGCAGTCGAATAGATATTACATTTACTAAAAATTCGCAAAAGATAAAAAAAAAGAAAAGGTATTTAAGGGGGTATACCGCGACGATATCAACTTTGACAATAATCTGTTTAAATCAAAAAGAAACAAGAGAAAATATTACAGTTATTTTTATTTATTTATTTTTTTTAGAATACTTGTGTAAGAACATTTATTACTATGTTCTTACCACTTATATTACACACGTTTTATTTCTATTTATTTAATTCGTAATACATATTAATTAGCATAGAGGGAGATGCTGATGTGACAATTCTACTCGTCTGTAGTCCGGAGCTACTGACGTCGAACTAACAAAGGGCAGTTGTGTTTGAGTGGCCGTTATAGACATAGTTTTCAATATTATTACTTTCGTCTTATTTATATTATTTATAACTTAACTTGTTTTATTCAACGACCCGTCTATCGCCAATTGTCATCATAGCCAACCAACTCCGTCTCACTTGGATATACCTACTAACCAACTGTACTAGGATTCAGGTCAGACGTATTGTACATTACATATAACTTATATTTACTNGCCAACCAACTCCGTCTCACTTGGATATACCTACTAACCAACTGTACTAATATTCAGGTCAGACGTATTGTACATAACATATAACTTATATTTACTGAACATCTAAAATATAACTTTACTTTGTCGTTGACATAAAACAATAGTCTAATTTTATTTAATAATCTATCCCCTGTAACTAAGGTACACGATTGCCTGTGTCTCCTTCAGNCTATCCTGTAACTATGGTACACGATTGTCTGTGTCTCCTTTAGGCAATTAAACTCATTTAAGGAGATAGGGACGATATTTGGGCAGACGTCGGGTAGCTTCCGATTCTTGGTTTTGACCAAG